GGAGGAAGAAACAAAACTGCGGCTACGCAAACCTCAATCCACCACCCCCCCACCACCACCACCACTGCAACATCTCTCGATGACAAATACAAATCGACAGTTAGAAGGGTAAAAAAAAACCAATCATCATATTTTTACTGGCAAATGAGGTTCCCATAGTGTAGATGCTTGCCCCGAGCTCTCATACTCTGATGGTGCATTGTCTTTGAGTTGTGCGCCTTTTGGCGTCATCTGGTCCAACACCATGTGAGACTAGGCTCGAAGGAAAGCTGTCTCGGGTGTGGACCAATCAACTTCAAGGACAGTGCATACATTATCAGAGTTATGTCTTTTGTTTGTATTATGACTGCAGGTATTGCGGTCTATGCCAACGTGACTCCTTGTAAAAAAAGGTGTCAGTTTTGTTGCCAGATAGAAGGGTAAAAAAACAATTATCAAACTGGCGGAAGTTGGAAATCGGTCGTAAAAGAACCAGCGAGGTGGCGACGCGCGCGGGCTCGTGACGGCCACGAGGAGCCAACGCCTCGGAAAAAAAACACCACGCGGCGAAAATGGCGTCAAAATCTCCTCTGACGTCACAGTCGCACAATAAATAAATAATAACGACTCGACCCCCCACCCCCGGGGAGCCCCCCCCCACCCTCACTCACTCGCTCCACCGATGGGCTATGACGATGGGCTATGATGATGAGCTATGACGATGGGCTATGAGGATGGGCTATGAGAATGGGCTATGGCGATGGGCTATGAGGATGGGCTATGACGATGCGCTATGGTGATGGGCTATGAGGATGGGCTATGGTGATGGGCTATGGTGATGGGCTATGAGGATGGGCTATGGTGATGGGCTATGGCGATGGGCAATGAGGATGGGCTATGAGGATGGGCTATGAGGATGGGCTATGAGGATGGGCTATGATGATGGGCAATGAGGATGGGCTATGATGATGGGCAATGAGGATGGGCTATGAGGATGGGCTATGATGATGGGCTATGATGGGCTATGAGGATGGGCTATGAGGATGGGCTATGGTGATGGGTTATGGTGATGGGCTATGATGATGGGCTATGATGATGGGCAATGAGGATGGGCTATGAGGATGGGCTATGAAGATGGGCTATGGTGATGGGCTATGATGATGGGCAATGAGGATGGGCTATGATGATGGGCTATGGTGATGGGCTATGGTGATGGGCTATGAGGATGGGCTATGGTGATGGGCAATGACGATTGGCAATGAGGATGGGCTATAGCGATGGGCTATGAGGATGGACTATGATGATGGGATATGAGGATGGGCTATGGTGATGGGCAATGAGGATGGGCTATGAGGATGGGCTATGAGGATGGGCTATAGCGATGGGCTATGGGGATGCGCCGGCATTTCTCCCAACGACGAGTCCCCAAGTGGCTCTCTTATCCAAAGGGGCGCCGGTTTCATTTTCTTCTGCCGAGTGAGTCTCGAGTGAGTCTCGAGATCGTCCCTGAGTTGGGGGGGGGGCGGTCCTAACAAACTTAAAATAAAATAACCGACGCGCAAAATCGGCGAGAGTGCAGAAGGGAAGGTTTGGGGGGTGTGAGTCGTAGCGGCTCAAGTCCACGCAGAGTCTCTCTCTCATGTCAGTGCATCGACATCTTCACCGTCGTCGTCACCGCAGTCGTCACCCACACGATGCAGACGCTTTTGGCGTCGTGGATCCGTACGCTTTTAAAAATAAGTTAATTAACTATTAAGGCAAGAATACGAAAATAATAAAAAGAGAGGCAGCAACGCCGAGGCGACTTCGTTGCGTGCCGGAACTCGAACCACCCGCACCGACGGGTAAGGCTTTGAACTCGCGAACCTTTCACGATGGTGGTGGTGATGGTGGTGGGGGTGGTGGTGGCGGGGGTGGTGGTGGTGATGGCGGTGGGGGTGGTGGTGTGGGTGGTGGTGGTGATGGGGGGAGGGGGTGGTGATGGTGGAGGTGGTCGTGGAGGTGGTGGTGGCAACTCTGGGAGCGAGCCGATCGGGGGGGGTGGGGGGGGGGTAGCGTCTCCGCCGTGACCTCTCGTGGGGCCTCTTCTCGCTCCGCAAACCAATTTTTTTTATCTTTTTTGAAAAATATTTTTTTATCTTTTTTTCGCACGCGGATTTCGTTTCGCGGCATTTTCATTTGGCCGCCAAAATTCCTGCGACCCCTGCGACGGAAACGCACACCGCTCGCAAGGCGGCACGCGCCGGGGTCGGTTTGTGCTTTGGCTTTGGGTTTTTCTTTTTTACGCCATCACGCGCACCGCCACCACCACCACCACCACTGCTACTACCACCACCTCCGCAACGTCCAAGCACCGTCCAGCATAGGAGCTGCTATCAATGTCCACGTGATGATAAGGCACTTCACCATTGGAACCTCATTTGGCAGTGAAAAATATGATAATTGTTTTTTTACCCTTCTATCTGGCAACAAAACTGACACCTTTTTTTACAAGGAGTCATGTTTGCATAGACCACAATACCTGCAGCCGTAATGCAAACAAAAAACATAACTCTGATAATGGTGCGCCTTTTGGCGTCATCTGGTCCAACACATGTGAGACGAGGCTCTAAGGAAAGCTGTCTCGGGTGTGGACCAATCAACTTCAAGGACAGTGCATACATTATCAGAGTTGTGTTATTATGACTGCAGGTATTGTGGTCTATGCAAACATGACTTCTTGTAAAAAAAAGGTGTCAGTTTTGTTGCCAGATAGAAGGGTAAAAAAACAATTATGATAAGGCACTTCGTTGAGCAGCTCGGTAGGGCCTGACCTGGTCAAATAAAAACGAACATTTTCAATACAATAGTTATTGCTCTGGAATACCAACACAGCCGAGCGGCCGAGAACACAACCTCACGGTGCGTCGCCTACACCCCAACTCGCTAGGATGGTGACCTCGGCGGCTCCGAACGAAACCAAAAGGGGCAGCAGCTTCCCACGCCGATCGGCAAAGTGGCGGGGGGGGAGACAACGCGCACTCGTCCCGTGCGGCCGTCAACGCGTGGCCGCGTGGCCTTGAAACGTGGCCGCGTTTTCGCGACACGCTGCTCGCAAAACGCTGCCGTTCTGCGCTGGGTTTGCGTGCGGCGTGGGGGGACGGTGCCGTGGTGGGGGGGGGTGGGGGGGTGGCGGTTAATTGGTCGGTGCGGATACGCGACGGGCTGGGGCGCGCCATGCCACGCCGCCGGTCTGCCGGTTTGTTAGTGGAGAGAAGAATGGGGGCTGATTGAACTACCGATTGCAGCACGCCACCACGGGCCTCGCTAAAGCAACAGCATCGGCACGTTTCGCTGGTTTTTTTTGGGAGGTGGGACGGGGGGAGGGGGAGGTTTGTTTCTTGAACCCCGCGGTTGCCCCCGACGCAGCAAGACTACGGCGCGGGCCGTTGGCCGTTCTCGGAGCGACGCTAAGGAACGCGTGGAGGTGAGCGGGAGGTGAGCGGGAGGTGAGCGGGAGGTGAGTGGGAGGTGATCGAGAAGTGAGTGGGAGGTGAGTGGGAGGTGATTGGGAGGTGAGCGGGAGGTGAGTGGGAGGTGAGCGGGAGGTGAGTGGGAGGTGAGCGGGAGGTGAGCGGGAGGTGAGCGGGAGGTGAGCGGGAGGTGAGCGGGAGGTGAGCGGGAGGTGAGCGGTGAGGCAGCTCGGGGAAGACCTCTCTGTCGCGTGAGTCCGAGTCCTCATCTCCCGGTCGCCCAGTCGCGCACCCCCCGGAGCCTCTCGCGCCGGGCGCAGTATTGTGTTCGCCGATACCTCGTGTTGATTCACCGGTCATACGTGAGCGGAACGACTTCCTGCGCCGTTGCGCCTCGCGATGCGTTTGGCCTCCGCTCAACCCATCCCCGCGGCTCCCCTCCCCCCCCCGTCACCAACAGCCACCTCTAACCTCCTGCCCTCGTTCGACCGAGGCTACCCAGATACGTCCCCCGGTTTGGCGGGGATGGCCCCGGTGCTTTCATGGGTCTTCCCTTCCAACCGGCACGCCCCGGACGTGCCATCCGCACAAAGTTCCCGGTCCACTGACAAAGCGTGCGAACGAATCGCGTGGGCACGAACGCTGTTGTGCGTGCGAGTGGAGAGCGGTGGTGTGTAGCGGTTAGCGCTACGCTGCGTTACGAACCGAGTTCGATTCCCGCTCACGGCCAACATCGGTGACGAATGTCTGAACCGATCCTGGGCCTCCTCTAGGTCGACTCGGCCTCATAATGAGTACCTGGTGCGGTGTGTAGTAAACATCGCCACTGGGGAGACAAAGGCGGCCGGGTCGTGGTGCTGGCCACCCACCCCCTCGCCTGCCGTGCCGGCCTTCGTAGGTGCTACTCGCGAACAGCACTTGCCCCAAAAAGTCTGCTCGGGCTACACGGGGTATAACTTTGTGTGTGCGTGGATGCAGCGGAGCAAGTAGGGCAGTCTGCAAATCCGTGCCTCGGAGCCTGCGAGTACGAACTGTAAGATCCATGGCGGCTGGGATTCATTTGACGGGAATAGCGATCGAACGTCAACTGAGTCACTCCGCTGAAATACAAAATAGCAATTCTCATGAATCCAAAGTGGTCGCTGCGTCCCGAGTCGATCGGCGGCCATTGCGTTCGTTCGCCCGTCCCGTCGAGATGTGGGATTCTGTTTGCTCGTTTGTTCGCGTGTTCATGTTCGTTGTCCTACCCCCCCCCCCCCGCCCCCCCCCCCGACCCGCACCTCCGAATAGCACGGTTGGCCACGCGCAGCGCGAAAGAAGTTCAAACGTCTTCTTGGTTCTTTCGGTAAAGTCGTCACGTAGAAGGGAAATAATAAAAAAATAAAACATAATAAAATAATTCTCACGACGTTTCGGCCACAACGCAAGCAGCCGTGCTCAGGTGAAGAACAGGTCTGTTGGAAAGATAGCGTCTGAATGGACGCTATCTTCAGACGCTGTCTTTCCGACAGACCTGTTCTTCACCTGAGGACGGCTGCTTGCGTTGTGGCCGAAACGTCGTGAGAATTATTTTATTCTGTTATATTTTTATTATTTTCCTTCTACGTGACTTTACCGAAAGAAGCAAGAAGATGAATCCCTGCAGTCACGAAAGCTTTAAATCGAAAACTTCAAACATACGTACGCTTTGGGCAAAACGTTATAAAAGGGTCGCCGTCCGACGCGCCAAACGACCGTTCGAGAGACGGCGCGGGCCGTGAAGCCCCCAGGGGAAAGGCCGCGACGAGATGACGGCACAGCCGGGAAAACTTTAAAATAAACATCGGCGCTTTGTCAAAACTGCACAAAAACAACTCACGACGAAAACTGACGACGAGTAAAAGCCGGTACCCCACGTAACTATGGTATCAAATATAATCTTTGCAAAGTGAAGAAACACGTATATATATTTATATTATAAAATCTAAATTTGCTCTCGCCTGGCTGAATAAAGGACGCGCGAACTGAGAATTCCGGTAAAATATTGGAACTTGTACCCCAGGAATCCGGTGACGCAGACTCGCGGCCTGCGTTTAAAGCGTCCGGCGCAGGTCCCGACACGGTTACTCTTCCAGTTGTCCAAATGCGGTTTTTGCAGAACCTTCACAGAGTCTCATCCGATAAAATAAAAAAAATCCAAATTGGATTTGCACGCAATATTGCGCCCATCAAAACTGTGCCACGTCTCCCCGACGTGAAAAGACTACCAGCCAACAGCGTCCCTCTCCAGGCAACGCAACGGCACACCTTGATGACAAATTATATTAAATGTAACCGCACGCACGTACGCACGCACGTACGCACGATGGCCTTTTGTTTGGCAGTTGTTTCAACCGAACCTCATCATCATCATCACCACCATCACCATCACCACCGACATCACTCAGCGCCGGCATTTATCCCATGGCGGTCAGCATATTGCCGGAGGGGTGCGGGCGTAGAGGCTGCTGCTGATGATGCTGGTAGTGTTGAAACTGCTGCTGCTGCTGATGCTGCTGCTGGTGCTGAACGGACAGCGCCACGCCATCCGGAGGGAGGTACGTGAGCGTCGCTCCGCCGGCTATGCCGTGCGGCACCGCCAACGCCAACGACGCCGGGGAGAGCAGCCGGTGCTGCTGCTGCTGCTGGTGGTGCTGCTGGTGCTGATGGTGCTGGTGGTGCTGGTGGTGGTGGTGGCTACCCAGGAGGTGCGGGGGCAGCGCGGAGGCCGTGAGGGCGGCGTGGAAGAAGGGAGGCCGCCGTAGCGCCGCGTCCGAGGCTTCGTCGCTGGCGGCGGCCCGGCCCTTCCGAGGCCGCCGGCGGGCCTTGCCGCCCGTCGAGTTCTTGCGGTTGCGCGTTTGGATGGCCTCCTTCTTCATGGCGATTGGGCGGTTCACCTGCCGGAGGTGCGCGCCAGAGGAAGAGACGATTGTATCAGATCAGTCGGTAGGTCAGTCGGTAGGTCAATAGATCGGTCGGTGGGGGGTGGTGGGGGGTGGTGGGTGGTGGGGGGTAGTGGGTGGTGGGGGGTAGTGATGGGGGGTGGGGGGTGGGGGCGACTCTCAAAGTCAATAACAGTATTGAAAATAACAATAATAATGCTTTACAATATAACAAAAACAAATATTTATGAATTTGAATGCAACATATTGCTTGCAAAGTCGGTGCACGTGGTCAACAAAAGCGTCAATATCGGCAGCCTCCTCCCCCACCTACCGGCGTCGCGAGGCATGGGCCCCAAAACAACCCCCACCACAAACGGGAAGCCTTCACCCACCAGCTGATTCACAACGCCGAGGTCCAATTCGGTGACGAGCGCACGACCGTGCACGCCGCGACGACCCCTGATGCCTGCCCCTTGCCCCGATTAACACGCTTGGCTACGTACGGTGCGAAAGAAGCACACGCGCACGCGTGTATTCCTGCTCCGTCATCGCAACGCTCTCTCCGTGGCTACGACTCGCCCCCCGATCCGCCAAATCCGTTCTCTCCCCGTCAAACGCCGCCTCCTCTCGTCTATTCTGCTCGCCCCCCCCCCCCCGCGCCCCCCCCCAATCTCCTCCGTCGAATTCATCCACACCATTGTTCACTCCCTGCCAAGGCGCCTGGGGGGGTCAAGGCTCCTCGTATACATTTCATTTCGATAACGTGAAAGATTTCTTCACGGCTAATACTGAACGGTCGGATCCACCTCCTCCCCCCCCTCCCCCCGATTAGGGCCACCGCTCACGATACCCGCCCCCCCCCCCCAAAAAAAAATTAAACGAAACGACGCAAATTATAATTTCACTTCCACCAACGTCCCGATTCAGGGTTGCGATCGCCCCCCCCCCCCCATCACTCAAAAATCGATTCCCCGGTGTTTCTTTTTTTCTCATTTCACCGCCTACTTTGTAGCGTTTCGTTGTTTGCCTTCATTCCGATCTCGAGCGTGCACAGAGACGTTTCTCTCCACGACTCTACAGCGAGCACTGCTGCGCACGCAATTTCCATCACCTTTGCATTTCCCGTAAACTGGGGGCGGCGCGCGGAAACGGTGAGCCTGCCCACCCCGAGATCAATTTTCGTTCACGCTACGAACACCAAGGTCTTGAACTGTTACAACCTCGCATCACGATACACTATACACTACGCTATACTACCATGCATTATACTGGTATACACTATGCTACTACACGCTACGCGAAACTACTATACACTACACTGATATACACTACACCACATTACACTATACACTACACTAGTTTCCACTATACTATACACTACACCACACTACACTATACACCAAGCTATCATACACTACACTATACACTACACTAGTTTCCAGCATACTATACACTACACTACTATACACTACGCTACTACTATACACTATGCGAAACTGCTATACACTACACTGATATACACTACACCACACTACACTATACACCAAGCTATCATACACTACACTATACACTACACTAGTTTCCAGCATACTATACACTACACTACTATACACTACACTACTACACACTACACTGCTATAACTACACTATTAAACACCACACCATACTATACACTACACTGCCAAAATTGTCGCGTTATGAATTTCATCATCATCATCATCATGTGTGTTGAACTTCTTTCGCACCGTACGTAGCCAACCGCGCTAATCGGACGTGCGGAGGGGGGGGGGGAGGACAACGAACGAGACGCGCAGAAAAAGCCGAAGTGAGATTTCCATCTCGACGATTGAAAGGTGCACGGCTCCCCGGTGGGTTCCTCATCAAAGATCGGAGTTGACCCAGATCTGAACCAAGTCCTCCCCGCCAAACTTCTCCCGCAACCCCCCACTGACCAGCGGGCAGAGGTCGCAATCGAGTACCCGATACCCGTACCCTACCCGATACCCGGCTACCCAGACCCGGCCGGGTACGGGTACCCGTTTGCGACCCTGGTGCGGCCGGGTACCGGTACGGGTAGGCCGTGAGTCGCTGTAGAGTCACCGTTTGTCACTCATTTCCCAACGTCTTGTCTCTTCTCACAATTCAAGATCCTAGAATCAACCCACCCGCGCCTACAACATGGCTTCATCCCAGAGGTCGCAATCGGGTACCCGATACCCGTACCCGGCCGTACCCGTACCCTACCCGTACCCGGCCGGGTATCGGGTAGGGTACGGGTACGGCCGGGTACGGGTACCCGTTTGCGACCCTGGTGCGGCCGGGTACGGGTACGAGTAAGGAATCAAAACCCGTTTGCGACCTCTGCCAGCGGGGTGAAGTATGGAGGAGAATCGCCACACGCCGCGTGCATTCCTTGTACGCGCAGACACGCACACGCGCGCGTGTCTGCGCGTGTGCGCGCGCGTGCAGGGAGCGGTGGCGATGCGGTTAGGCGCACTACAGCGTGAACCCACCAAACCCAGTTTGTTTACTGTCCACGCCCATTGACCGCGGGGAATATTTTAACCCGTCCCGGGGCCTTACCCCCCAAAAAAGTCGATCCGACCTCAAACGAGTACGTGTGTAAAACATCGCCACTGGGGAGACAAAGGCGGCCGGGCGTGGTGCTGGCCTCGTGCGCCGTGCCAGCCTTCAGAGGTACTCACTAACAGCACTTGCCCCAATACTGTCATTGGCTATATGGGGGGGGGGAGATCTTTGGCTTTGTACCAAGCGTGCGTGTGTGTGTGTGCGCGTGCGTCCGTGTGTATGTTCGTGGGCGTGTGTGCGTGCGCGTGTGTACGTGTGTGTGTGCGTCTGTGTGTATGTTCGTGGGCGTGTGTGCGTGTGTGCGTGCGCGTGTGTGTACGTGTGTGTGTGCGTCTGTGTGTATGTTCGTGTGTGCGTGCGCGTGTGTGTACGTGCGTGTGTGTGTGCGTCTGTGTGTATGTGCGTGTGTGCGGGTGTGTACATCCGTGTGTGTACGTGCGTGTGCGTGCGCCCGTGCGTGCGTGGCAGTGTGCGTTTCCGTAGCCTACCCAATACCGAACTCGACACGAAACGCACTTTTCACCCCCCCCCACCCACTACTTTGCATCGGTTCAACCGAGGTGAAAACACCTGAACCCCCCCCACCACCACCCCCATCCCTCTACACCGCCCCCTCACTTCGCCTTGACCGAGCGGGAACATGTTTTTGGGACGTCTGGCCATACTTCACCACGCCGGTCGCTGCTGGGCGGGTGGGGAGGGGGCAGGGTGTCCGGGGTGTGACGAGGTGGGGAGCGGTGGCGCAAGTTTCTCAAACCCCTCCGCAGAGAGGGCCCATGTTGACACGGCCGCTGGTACCGGCAAGTCCGTTCAGCTCCAAACCAAAGATAAAGATCCTTGCTCATGGCCTTCGACTGTTGGGGCAAGTGCTGCTAGCGAGCGGCGCCGGTGAAGGCCGGCACTGCGGCACGCGCGGGGGGGGGGGGGGGGTCGTTTGAGGCCGAGTCGACCTAGGGGAGACCCAGGCCCGGTTCAGATAATCGTCACCGGGGTGTTTCGTCGCGAGCGGGAATCAAACCGGGGGGACGTCGGGCTCGTAGCAGCGCGACGCGCTGGCCGCTACACACACGCACGCACACATGCGCACACGCACACACGCTCACACACACACACGCACACACACACACGCACACACACACACACGCTCACACGCACACACGCACGCGCACGCACACACACTCACACACACACACGCTCACACACACGCACACACACACGCGCACACACGCACACACGCGCACGCGCACACGTGCACACGCACACACACGCACGCGCACACACACACGCTCACACGCGCACACACACACGTTGTGCAGCTTGAAGTAGAGGCCGCACGCGTTGCACACACGCACACACACACACGCTCACACACGCACACACACACGCTCACACACTCACGTTGTGCAGCTTGAAGTAGAGGCCGCACGCGTTGCACACGGGCTCGCCGCTGCCGTTGCGCCTCCACAGGGTCGTGGTGGCGGTTTGGCAGTTGGCGCAGGTGGTGGACGGCCGCGAGCTGCTCGCCTGCGACCACGTGGCGGCAGAGGAAGAACAATCAGGCGCACGCACGAGGCACGCAAGGCACGCATGAGACACAAGGCACGGCACGCACGGCACGCACGAGGCACGCATGGCACAGCACGCACGGCACGCACGAGGCACGCAAGGCACGCATGAGACACAAGGCACGGCACGCACGGCACGCACGAGGCACGCATGGCACGGCACGCATGAGGCACGCAAGGCACAGCACGCATGAGGCACAAGGCATGCACGAGGCACAAGGCACGACACGGCACGATATGGCACGCATGAGGCACAAGGCACGGCACGCACAAGGCACATGGCACACACGGCACGGCACGCACGGCATGCACGGCACACACGAGGCGAGAGACAGGTTCCGTTCACGGGGCTTTCTGAGAACACGCAACGAAAACAAACACGTGCACGCGTGCCCCTCGCCATCGGCGGGCGTTTCATTGATGCTGGGTAACGTTAGACCTTCACTGGCGCTGGGTAACGTTTGACCTTCACTGGCCCTGGGTAACGTTAGACCTTCACAGGTGCTGGGTAACGTTAGACCTTCACAGGTGCCGGGTAACGTTAGACCTTCACAGGTGCCGGGTAACGTTTGACCTTCACAGGTGCCGGGTAACGTTAGACCTTCACAGGTGCCGGGTAACGTTAGACCTTCACAGGTGCCGGGTAACGTTTGACCTTCACAGGTGCCGGGTAACGTTAGACCTTCACTGGCCCTGGGTAACGTTAGACCTTCACAGGTGCCGGGTAACGTTAGACCTTCACAGGCACTGGGTAACGTTAGACCTTCACTGGCCCTGGGTAACGTTAGACCTTCACTGGCCCTGGGTAACGTTAGACCTTCACTGGTGGGTAACGTTAGACCTTCACTGGCCCTGGGTAACGTTAGACCTTCACTGGCGCTGGGTAACGTTTGACCTTCACTGGCCCTGGGTAACGTTAGACCTTCACTGACACTGGGTAACGTTAGACCTTCACTGGCCCTGGGTAACGTTAGACCTTCACTGGTGGGTAACGTTTGACCTTCACTGACACTGGGTAACGTTTGACCTTCACTGACCCTGGGTAACGTTAGACCTTCACTGACACTGGGTAACGTTAGACCTTCACTGGTGGGTAACGTTTGACCTTCACTGACACTGGGTAACGTTAGACCTTCACTGGCCCTGGGTAACGTTAGACCTTCACTGGCCCTGGGTAACGTTTGACCTTCACTGGCGCTGGGTAACGTTAGACCTTCACTGGCCCTGGGTAACGTTTGACCTTCACTGGCCCTGGGTAACGTTTGACCTTCACTGGCGCTGGGTAACGTTAGACCTTCACTGGCCCTGGGTAACGTTAGACCTTCACTGGCCCTGGGTAACGTTTGACCTTCACTGGCGCTGGGTAACGTTAGACCTTCACAGGTGCCGGGTAACGTTAGACCTTCACTGGCGCTGGGTAACGTTTGACCTTCACTGGCGGTGGGTAACGTTTGACCTTCACTGGCGCTGGGTAACGTTTGACCTTCACAGGTGCTGGGTAACGTTTGACCTTCACTGGCGGTGGGTAACGTTAGACCTTCACAGGTGCCGGGTAACGTTTGACCTTCACAGGTGCCGGGTAACGTTTGACCTTCACTGGCGGTGGGTAACGTTAGACCTTCACAGGTGCTGGGTAACGTTTGACCTTCACAGGTGCCGGGTAACGTTTGACCTTCACAGGTGCTGGGTAACGTTTGACCTTCACAGGTGCCGGGTAACGTTAGACCTTCACAGGTGCCGGGTAACGTTAGACCTTCACAGGTGCCGGGTAACGTTAGACCTTCACAGGTGCCGGGTAACGTTTGACCTTCACAGGTGCTGGGTAACGTTAGACCTTCACAGGTGCCGGGTAACGTTTGACCTTCACAGGTGCTGGGTAACGTTAGACCTTCACAGGTGCCGGGTAACGTTTGACCTTCACTGGCGGTGGGTAACGTTTGACCTTCACAGGTGCTGGGTAACGTTAGACCTTCACAGGTGCTGGGTAACGTTTGACCTTCACAGGTGCTGGGTAACGTTAGACCTTCACAGGTGCTGGGTAACGTTTGACCTTCACAGGTGCTGGGTAACGTTAGACCTTCACAGGTGCTGGGTAACGTTTGACCTTCACAGGTGCTGGGTAACGTTAGACCTTCACAGGTGCTGGGTAACGTTAGACCTTCACAGGTGCTGGGTAACGTTTGACCTTCACAGGTGCTGGGTAACGTTAGACCTTCACAGGTGCTGGGTAACGTTAGACCTTCACAGGTGCTGGGTAACGTTTGACCTTCACAGGTGCTGGGTAACGTTTGACCTTCACAGGTGCTGGGTAACGTTAGACCTTCACTGGTGGATAACGTTTGACCTTCACAGGTGCTGGGTAACGTTAGACCTTCACAGGTGCCGGGTAACGTTTGACCTTCACAGGTGCCGGGTAACGTTTGACCTTCACTGGTGGATAACGTTAGACCTTCACTGGCGGTGGGTAACGTTAGACCTTCACTGCCGTGAGACCTTCCGCCGCGTGGAATCGCGTCATCGCCTCGGCAGAAGAGGCCATTTTATCGATATATTTTTTCGCACTGGTTTGCGTCGGCGAACTTTGCGCGAAGCTTTGATCAATTTGCCCGCCGAGGGTTTCAATCGGGTTGAGTTGCCACCCGAAGGCAGAACTTGGCACCGAAGTTTCGTTCTTATCGAGTCGCATTTCCGAGAATTCGTCGTTACGGACGGACGGACGGAGCTGACGCATTAAAGCTTTCAATGTTCGTCATAAAGCAGCGAGCGTAACGTCAGCCTCGTCAGTAACGCACTGGGGGCACCCAAATACGTTGACAGATTTCAACGACGACGATGCCGATGACGCTGCTGAAGGAACAGAAGCCTCTAGGAACAGGCCGTAATCATAGCAGAATGGTGGCGGTGATGATGCTGCTGCTGCACATAGCTGCCTGTGGTAATCCAGTACCGAGGGTTGGTGGATTGGAATCAAAATCAGTATTTATACTGCAGGAGGAATCCGATGAGCTATGAAGCTCTTGTTCATATGAGTGCAAAGTACGTGACTTTACCGAAAGAACCACGAATATGAATCCCTGCAGTCACGAAAGCTTTAAATCGAAATTTAAATCACAGAAACACGTACAAATACAACACGAAACCACGAGCTACCTGGCACACAAAATAGCGCATCATTTGGACATTCGTATCAGCAAAATAATCAAACTCATTACAACGGCGATGGGTCGGCGGATCACCGCGCAAAGTTAGCGAAGCTCCCTTGCGGCCCTGGCCGTCAAGGAGGTTCCCATACCCGTGTTCGCCAGGAGATGGCGGTACCGCAAGTGTGCACTAAACTCCATCCGTCCCATTTGCACACCGTGAGGGTTTTTCTCCGGCTGCTCCGGTTTTCCGGCCACACGTGTGAACAGTTCTAGATTTGAAGCTTTCGTGACTGCAAGGATTCATATTCTTAGGTTTTAGTCTTCTTGAAAGACGGAAGCTTGTTGTTGCCTCCGAAACGTCGTGATTTTTATTTTATTTTTATTTTACTTTTATTAATTTTAATTTTTTTACCCCACGTGACTTTACCGAAAAAACCTAAGAATACGTGTAAACAACTCATTGATTGTGCCGATCGACACCTTGATCTTACGAGCCTCCGAGTGCTGTGGGAGATGCAGTTGCTTAACTGCCGCTATATTAAGACCAATGACTACGTCGTCACACTAATAATGATCAAATGTGAGCGTCGATCCAACAAAAATGTTACACAACAACACAAATCAGGTCTCGGTCCGCCGATATAATCAGCCAGGGTCAATCCACTGCTGGATGAAGGCCCCCCCCCCCCCGCTAGCCACCGCTGCCACCAATTCTCACGAGCCCTGCACCGTAACGATCCACCCGGCGCGCCGGCTGAAAGCGCCACGGGCCGATTGCTCCATCCTCAAACCAAACAATAAACAAACAAAACATTGGAGATTTGAAGCTTTCGTGACTGCAAGGATTCATATTCTTAGGTTATTTCGGTAAAGTCACGTAGGTAAAAAATTACAATTAATAACTGAAGACGCAAGCTTGTGTTGCCTCCGAAACGTCGTGATTTTTATTTTATTTTTATAAAATTTTTGACCTACGTGACTTTACCGACAAAACCTAAGAATAGAAAAACATTGGAGATTGTTCCCTTGCCCCGTGTACACGGTCTGTACGTGTGTATATCTGTATGCTGAACTTCCTTTGCACCGTACGTAGCCAACCGCGCTCATTAGAGGTGTGGGAGAAGGACAACAAACTAAACACTAAAAGCAGTTCTAAAGAAATCAGTTCGTCAATCTGGATGATTTAAAAGTGCCGTAGCTCCCAGCGGCTTCCCGATGTCGGAAGGAGGAGCGCGTTCCAGACGGCCGCGGATGCAGCGCGTCTGAAAGCCCCGGGCGATGCGGTGACCGGCGTTTTTGTTCGATGGCTACGCAAAAAGCCGCCGCTGCTACCGCTGCTGATGCTACTGCTGCTGCTGCTGCCGCTGCTGCTGCTGCCGCTGCTGCTGCCGCTGCTACTGCTGCTGCTGCCGCTGCTACTGCTGCTACTGCCGCTGCCGCTGCTGCTTCTGCTGCTGCTGCCGCTGCTGTTGTTGCTGCTGCTGCCGCTGCTGCCGCTGCTACTGCCGCTGCTGGTGCTGCTACTGCCGCTGCTGTTGTTGCTACTGCTGCTGCTGCTGCCGCTGCTACTGCCGCTGCTGCCGCTGCTACTGCCGCTGCTGGTGCTGCTACTGCCGCTGCTGTTGTTGCTGCTGCTGCCGCTGCTGCTGCCGCTTCTGCTGCTGCTGGTGCTGCTACTGCTGCTGCTGCCGCTGCTGCCGCCGCTGCTGCTGCTACTGCTGCTGCCGCTGCTTCTGCCGCTGCTGCCGCTGCTGCCGCCGCTGCTGCTGCCGCTGCTTCTGCTGCTGCTGCCGCTGCTGCTGCTACGAGGATGACG